TATGACCATGGGCTACCAGTGTGGCAAGTTTCAAGTCAAAATTCGAAAGTCGGATTTTGCTCGAAATCCAAGCTCTATAGGCAAAAACTGACTAAAAATTTAATATCTCAGCAACAAAGCACCATGGCGATGAGCCAACTAAGAGTATTTCACTACTCACTGAGGTCTACAAGATACAAGTAGTCCGAGTTCAAAAGCGATTTATAACCTCAAGAGGCTCCCTCGTAAGTGTAATGAGAGAAACAACGATCTTTCATATTTGAAAGTAGCACTTTCTGTTAACAGTCATTGAGCACTTTTGAAGCAAGTATGAGCAAAGTGGCGAACAAGAATGACATTGTACCATTCAGTGATATATGGATGGGTCTATTGACACCACTAGGAGGTGTGCCGTTGCTGACGCCACCGGTGGTATCAATAGCTATTCCTCTGGTGTTTACTGCGATAGATACACAATAAATGCAACAAAATGATGACTGGAACCGACGGACTAAACATATTTCAAATTTAGAAAAGAAAATGAATGAATATTCGAGCGTTCGGTAAATGCCATTGCTTAAAAAATCTGAAATTCCATCGCATTACTACTCCTGACTTTCCAAATGAAATCAGTTAGAATTCTTTATAGATGAGTGACAAACATTAGTAAACTAGCACTTTCTCAATAAAAATAAAAGTTGGAATATGAAAGCTAAAAGTTTTTCGAGTTATAGCGAGTGAGTTGTGAAGAGTAAGATCCAAATGTTCGCCTTTTCCAAAAGCATCATTTTTGTTCTGCAGATTTTCCTTGCACAGTAAAATTTGAATTTAGTTAAATATTACTCACGCGAGCTTCCAGTGTTTTATTTTGAACAGAAATGATTGTTGATTGTCTTTCCCATAATACAATTAGTGGACAATGTCACATCTGGATGTTTTATACTTAGTTTAGAGAACCTTTATGGTTAAAAATTTGATTTAAACGAACTCCAGCGTGCGTTAGGAGAATCGATACATTTGAAAATATAGAGAAATCTTTAACACATTTAGATACACGAAGAACCGATGAACATTGTTATTGAAAAAGTCTACTTGTTAAAAGCGCGATTATTGTTAGAAACTTTAAGAGTACCGCCCTCCTCTTTTTGGGCTTTCCTAGAAATGCTGTGAAATAAAAACTAAAACTCACTAAGACCTCACATTTTCAGAAGTAATTGGAAACTCAATGGAGCTCTTTTCGTTTTTGTTTTAAGTTTTTAACTGTTGCTGTTCACCAGTTTTCATTGTGCTACATTACGATCCGGCTTAAATTTCATCCGATCGCGTTAAAAATTTGACCAGAGGTACTCAAGACACTATTGCAGGAGTAGTTTTTGGAAAATTGTTTTAAGACCTTTCCCTGTGGAGTGAAAAGCGTCTCAAAAACCAAGTTTTTGATTTCTAAAAACTCGATAACTCGGTAACGAAAGGTCTAAAATAAAATTCCAAAAAGGTACTTCTGGTAAAATTTTTAACTCGATCGGATGAAATTTAACGAGGATCGTAATGTGGCACAATGAATAACCGAATTTTCTGGAAAACTGGTAAACGGCAAGAGATCTGCAACCCGATCCGACCCTAGGGTCGGGTCGGGTTGAATATTTGGCGACGCAATTTAAAATATAAATAATATTTTTAGCTTTGTATTACTGGTTGAAAGTTATCTCTACTGGAATTTCCAGTTGAAAGACTTGTTTCAGAACAACTGCATTCACTAAGTCGATTAATGATTGCTTTCTTTGCACATAAGAGAGTGCTTCCTGCACTGAAATTAATGGCAATACATCCCTTACTGCTTTTTTTCAATGTACTGTTTTAAACACCCGCACATAGAAGACTTTACTATAATGCTTTTTACTTGCTATCTTAGTATTACGTGATACTGACTGACCAATGAGAAAAAGAATGTGGTTATCATCTCGGTTAAGATAATCTATTGACAAAGTGTACTGAGGAATTTTCAATAGATTAACCTTTTAGACAAAATGACCAATCAGAAGTCGTTCAAAAATTTTTTTTGAACTACGAGATTCTACAATATGCACCGAAAAACTAACAGGACAAGTCTATATTCTTTTTCAAACACAGTTTTCTAGTGAGATTGTTTTCGTCGGGTTCGGGTTAAGTTGTTGTCGGGTCGGGTTCGGGTTAAGTTGTTGTCGGGTCGGGTTCGGGTTAGGTTTTCTTAACCCGTACAGGTCTCTAAACGACAATAGTCAAGAACTTGAAACAAAAATGAAAAAGTGCTCCATGGAGTTTCCAATCAGTTCTGAAAAGATGAAATCTTGATGAGTTTTAGTTTTTCTTTCACAGTATTTCTACGAAACGCGCAAAAAGACGAGAGAGTATGCTTAATTTCTCTCATCAAAGCAAATATTTCGAAAATCTGAAATTTTGTATGTTTTTATCTTTAGTTTGTCACTATATTTTATCCTAGTGCACGATTACGATCAACATGCACGGATCAGCAAGAGTCTCGAAAAAAGTCACCTGCACAGCTCTCCTATTATTTATTGTCGTTATTATCTATTGTTTAATCAATTTAAGCAGTCGAATACAGACTAACCCGTTTACTGGTGATATAGACGATGATGAAAAAATCAAAAATTATGCTGAAATATCGTTACCTTTTAACTCATTACGTAATTTAACAACATATGTACGCATTTATCGTGATATAAGAAAAAAATTAAAATCTAACAAAAATCAGTTTACCACTAAATTTGAACAAGATACATTTCCTTGGTTAAACGATAAACCGATGTTAGATTTCGTAGGAAAAAATATGTCAAGAGGAATTGTCGTATGTATGAGTGATAAATACATGAATGTCGGTTTACCAGCATTATTGAGTTTAAACGATTTGGGTAGTCAATTACCGATTGAAATCATGTATTATGGAGAGAATGACTTATCAATTAAAAATCGTCGAAAATTATCAAAAGTACCAAATGTTGTTGAAATAACAGATTTATCAACTAAATTTATTAATGTATCACTTAGAAGTTGGGCTGCTAAACCATTTGCTATATTAGCATCTATTTTTCAACATGTTATTCTAATCGATAGTGATGTTTATTTTTTTCAGTTACCTGAAAAATTATTTGATGATCATGATTATGTTAAAGAAAATATTATGTTGTTTACTGATCGATCATTGGAGAAAGATACAGCTAGAACTAAATGGGTAAATAGTATTTTGCCTCCACCCTTCTCAAAATCATTCAATGAATCACGTATGGTAAGAGGACTAGCTAGAGATGAAATTGAAGCAGGTGTTGTTGTAATGAATAAAGGCAATGATGATATTTTTCTCGGATTACTCGTTATTTGTGTATTAAATGTACCACCATACTGTATCTACCCTTATGTACATGGTGATAAGGAAACATTTTGGTTAGGAATGGAAATGATTCAGAAAACATTCTATGTTAACCCGATAACAGGTGTGATTGGTGATGTTGTTAATGATATCGTGTGCGGACAGATTGCTCATGGTAACAGGAATAAGCGGCTATTATGGTGGAACGGTGGATTATTTCAAGATAAATTTAGTCGACCATTTCTTTTGAATTTCACTTATTACAGTTGGGAACCAACAGATCAGTATTTTTCGTGGAAAGCATCATGTTTGTATGTCAATAAAACCGAATATAGAAAATTGGATGAGCATGAGAGAAATCTAATTCGCAAATACAAAGAAACAATGCAAAATGTATGTCGAAAAATGGCAGCCGAGGGTGAATCATGCTTACCATCATTAAAAACTAAATGATGAACTGTATTTACGTTCTCAAGATGATTTTAGGAAAAGAATATATGCGTTAGTGAAGATTAATAGAAATATTCAATTTTTGTACATTTCAGTTATCATAGTGCAATATTGAACTGTTTCTTCATGTATTAATAATTTATTTAAAGATAAAACTCAAGAACTCAAACTAAATAGTTGAGAAAAGAATGGGAAGTAAGACAGTCTGACTAATGGATCGTGGTTACTGATGAATTTTCTTTCTCTCTCTAATATGCAGAAGAGAGAAGAAAAGTGTTTACACGCTCTTGTCGACTTCATGAGATGCACGCGAATATACACAAGATAGTTCGGTCTTATGTCTTATAATGCATTGTTCAGAGTATTCGATGAAAACTCGCACATCCTGATCGGGCTAGGTTGTGTTTTATTTTTTTTTAAAGAAACTTTTGTTTTTGAGAAAAATAAAAGCTGATTAATGGGATGCAAAAGCACCATCGGACGGAGCAGTTGAAACGGCTCATAAATCGTTGTGGATCTCCAAGTATCGGATGATGATAATTGGGAACTGAAAGGTTTTGTCAACAGCCTAATACAGGTTCCATAAGCAATTGTCGCTCTCCGCTGTGAAGCAAAGCTGGCGAAATATAAAGTCAGTTGAGGACAAAATATGGTCGTCCTTTGACCTATCATATTCAAAAGGTACATGGAATACCGAAATACAGCAAAATGTTTTGTCTAATTTATTATACAGCATTCCATGGAGCTCATCGAGCGGATTAAGAAAATGTATTTCATAATTTTAAAAACAATTTTTTTCATGTCGAAAAATGGAAAATACCTTACGGGCGTAAAAATTTGAAAAATCACTTAGTTCCATTAAAGTTCGCATTTCGTCTTGTTTGTTCTTCTAGGCCTTTCAAAGTTGTTTTTTCTGAATCAGCGTTAAAATTGAATGTAAAAGTGGTGTATTATCAACTCTAAGGTCAAAGCCTGTCCGGTATGGACACTCCTAAAATATGAGAAAAGGGTTTTGTAAACCTATCTGCTCTTTTTTGTTAAGCGATAGAGCTGCTATTTGCATCTTGACAGATTTGGTGAAAGTCTAGCTTTAAAAGTACCGCTCGCTTTTTTTCAAATTTTGACCCTGTGGAAGTTTTTCTGCATATTGGAGAGTCATGAAATCGTAGTTGAGAATACTGATACTCTAGAATGATCATTTCACATGTGATTATCGAAATTTGCTAACTGGGACTTCTAAACCTTACTTATTACGATCAATAGCTCACCACATATATTTTATACAAGTCTTTTAACATGTCTGGTAACATAGCTCGATCGAGATATGTATCCCATTCAGGATATACCCTATAGGCTGAATAGAAAATTATCTCGTTCGGGACATAAGACATAAGACAGACCGGACTGACAGAATAAGTGTAAGTTTGAACGTTGATATGGCATAAATAATTGACTACAATTACATTTTTTGCGTATTTTTTGCTCTTGTTTTTATTACTGCGAACCGATTTCGAAAAACTCTTTTTATTTTGTTTGTTTGTTGTTTTGTTTTTATTTTGTCTCATTACTACAGAAAATTTCACAATGATATGACGTCAGGTTACTGACCTACGTGGATCAAAAGTCAAAATTACCCGTTTTTTTATGATTTATCAACAGAAAAATATTTTTTTCCAAAGAAAGAAGAAAACAAAATTAAAAACAAAATACCACGTTTTGTAGAGCGTCGAATTCTCTATTCAGCAGCGTGATTCAGTTTCTATTTTATTTACTTCTTTCTCTCAAACAAGCAAAAACACAGTTACACTAAAATAAAGCCCGAGATTTAAAATCAGTCTGTCTCTTTAGCAAGATACTTTTTAGAAAAACTGAAGAGATCAAAAGATAGCGCCTCTAAAACAGGATAGGAAACAAGTGCAAAATGTTTCGCACGACATGGTTTGCAAGGCTAAAAAATACAAAAAGGGCTTTTCCCACTCCTTTGAAGCCCGAGATGTTTAGGTTTATTTTCATTCTGGTATTTGAAGGGACCATTTCTTCAACTTGAAATTTACACCTGTGATAGAAGATGATGAGTTCTTTACGTTGACATAGTTTCAAGGTCCAATTGCGGATGCTTCTGGAAAAATTTTACATTATACAGCAGAATGAAGCCCGAGATTTTCGTTTACAGATTATGCAAACTATTTCAATTAAAAATGATCATATCATGCACTATTCGAATCCTCCTTTCAAGCCGGATTTGTCCAGTGTCCTTCAAGTGTTCCTCCAAGGATTCGTCCAGTGACAATCAGAAGCTACTGAAAATGAATTTTTAACTTTAAAATGGCGCAGAGCAGTATTTTTACTTTTAAAAATAATTTCGAGGTGATACGAAAATATAGAACTGTAACTTTTATTCTATTTCTGCTGTTTCGTTTTTGTGGTTTAAAATAAACGTGAAATGCTGCAGACAAAAATGGCTCATTCAAACGTGTGAGGTGAAAAAATTCAGCCGTCTAATATAAGCGTACTTAATATGGCTTCGAAGTGCCAGAGAAATGCAGTTGAACAGAATTTTCGCAAGTTTTGCAGTATTTTTAGGTACACACGCTAAGTAAAAATGGCTTCTTATAAGGTTTTTTCTAGGAAAAACGCGTCTTTTTAGATTTTTATACGATTTGTTTTGCTTACTTCGATCGAACACAGTCCACTTGAGTTCTCCATGTTGCGGCTTATCGATTGATATGTCACATGTGCCCTTGCACACTGAGCTTCGCAAAAAGCTCCTAACAAAGTTTTTGTGACAACTAACGCAAGTTGTCTCCCGGATATCTCTGCCAGTACGAAGCCGGTAGTTGGGAAAGTTTTACCGTAGACTCAGTAAACGATAAGAAACACAATCTACGTTTCAGGTTTTTTCTGCGGACGCTTTCATTTTTTTTCACCAATTGTATAAAAAAGTTACGATTCGCTCATATATGTAAATAAAACTATCGGGGAAGCAGAAAAACATTATTTCTTCTTTTAAAAGTTTGTATAAAGATAAGTTAACGTCTTGTATAAAGATCCCATGTCAACCAGCGTAATGTCCTTGGTAGACACCCTTGATCATTGACACGGTTTCAGAAGTGGGAGATGGCAGTTGCAGGTGCTCAATCTATTGATATCATTTAAACGATTTTCAGGCTTTTCCACTAAGTGGAGCTAGTGTAAGTGGCTCAAAAGAATCCTTCTACAGTGGTTTTCTGTAAAACTCTGGGTATCTCCAAACTTTTGTGAAACGGTTTTCTGAGAACTCCGAGGTTTTGGCGAGAATGGCATGATCTGTAAACTGTTTGGTAATGTTAAGAAACTTGTGGTTGATGAAGTCGGGCTTCTGAAAACGCATTGACTATGTTTGCTTGTCTGGAAATGTATAATGAGATTTTTGAAAATCTTACAGAAACATAAATTTCTTTAGGCTTTTAAAATGTTTTCTAAAGGTCTTACTTGAGTGTACAGCATAGTTCTCGAGTTGTACAATCGATTGGTATTATTTAAATTAACTGTACAGATTTCTGGAACAATCTGCCGCTAAAACGTCAAAATCCGCCGCGCGAAGATTCGATTTTTCGGTGTATTTTAATGTTTTCCTAATGAAGCTCAGATTTCGAAATAGTTTCATTGGATGTGTAATGGATAGAACCTGATGCTGAATATTGTACAGTTGTCAGTTTTTATTGTACACATCCTCAAAAATATATTAGAGTAAATTTCTAAAATCTGCTGCTAACTTCACATACACGGTTGGAAATAATATTTTTCCAGGGGGGGTAGAGCTGAAACTACAGATGATATAAAAATGTATTATATACCAAATTAATGCTCATCTAAAATGGAATTGATGTGTATGATTGAGACTCCGTATGACGATTATTGACTGTAGAACTATGGAAGTTTCTATCGAGTGTATCATAATGAATGAGCCTCTCAGTATTTTCTATTTTTCTCGTGTACGTTCAGGATCTCGCGGTTAGTGTTTTTTTTAAAAGATGCGCTACGAAATATTCTACAAAACCATACCTAAACTTTAATTTTAGAACTTTAATCAAGGAAACTACGTAAATTATACGAAAGGCGAAAAAAATGAAAACTTTGTATAGTTGTATTTCTTCAACTTGACTTTTTTCTTCAGCAATTATTCACGCCAAAGAGTGTAGCAAAAGTGAGAACTCGTTCTTTTTGTACTTCTGAACATGCTGTTTCCTCTGGCCTGTGAAAAGTGTTTTTTAGAGCAGACGGTGGGCTGGAGAACTAAGTTTCAAAAATTTTTCCTCATTTTCAGCAATGTGCCGAAGTAAGAAATGGAAAACCTGATCGATGTTTTGATTTCAGAATTAGTAATAGAAACGCAATTATTCGTGATCAAAACAAAACAAACCCGATCGAAAAAGCGTTTGTTTTGTTGAAGTTACGGGACTTTTACTCAAAGCACTGCTACACCCAGAACTTTCAGTCACGTAAATAGCGCGTTTGTTACTATGATACTTTTAAATGGTTATTTCCTAGATGTTTATTATATTGTTACTTTCTAAGCAAAACAGGTGACATAAATATATTTTTATTTTTGTGAGCAAGGAAAATAATTAAATCTTCACAAGGTAAAAAATCTTTAGCGAGCGTTACTTTGTAAACAAAACAAAAACTAAAAGATATAGTGACTTTGCCTTTTTTGCTTTGAACGTAATAATGTAACAATCATCTGGGAAAAAGCCAGTTTAAAAGTATTACAATAACAAACGCACTACTTAGTAAAGGGTTGGACACATTAGAAGATCCGGGGTCTTGTAATGTGTCCTATAGTTCACAAATTTTAGGGAGGGGGGCGTCTATTGTCCCTTAAAGAAGTCGTACTTTTTTTGGTATCCTCAGCAATAAAACACGCAGTTCAAAATCGTGGTATTTTTATCATTGAATCATTATCCACAAGTGTTTAAGAAAGATTTTAGTTACGAAAGTAATAGAAGATTTATTTGCTGTGCACAGAAGAGCGAGTCAGAAAGAGAGATACCAAAATATGATCGCAATATGGCGCTGTTTTCGTTACATATCACGCCAAATAGACTGCAAGCGAACAGATAGACAGAGAGACACATGCATCTGTATTGACCACATTTTGTTTCGTTCCAAGAAAGAAAAATATTATTGCGATTCAGCTACAGAGATACCATACTGAGGAAGTACAAAGAGATAACTAATGAGATTGTAACAGAGTTTGCTATCAAGAAAAGAGCCATACCGATACTAAACGAAAGAGAATCAATTACTATAGAACTTTCTGGATTTCTCAGCATGCGCTATAATAAAAAGCCATCCAAAGTAATCAATAAGTCCTTTTTAGAGCACTTCCGTTCAAGAAGAAAAACAAAAAAAAACATTATATAAAGGTTTTTTTAATATGCTTTACATACAAGGAGGTTGGAAAAAGCCAAACGTCGTAGAAAATTCAATGTATTTAATGCCTCTGATTTGTTGTATGAAGTGGTATAAAAACCAGTGACTGTCTAGAAATTTTAATTTTTTCAAGAAAGTATCGAATAAGTAAGCATTAACAACTAACTGTAGTGCCACTACAATAAGGTTTTTTATCATTGTTCATTATCATATCTTTCGACATCTTCCATATCTTTACGAAAGAGTGATGAGTGTTTATTTTTTTAGAAAAGTTCAATCTTAATGAAATTTTCAAAGTTTATTTGTTTCATGTTGAAGAGAAATATTTGGTTAACATTTGTGCATAATAAAATCGCAGAGTACGCTCAAATATGACGAGAATTAGAAGATGTTCCAAAACCTGGACTTTTTAGAATTTTCAGAAAACTTTTTCAAAATTTCTTAAAAATCACAGGTATTTGATTTTTTAATAACAAGTAAATAATATAGATTTTATCAGTAGAAAACAAAATTATCCGTAAAGTATAATATAGAATAAGAATTGAAATGAAAAAAAAAAGATTAAATTACTGCACTAGCAAAGCAAGTTTGGCCTTTGCTGGTCTACCTCTTTTTCCTTTTCTCACCGATCGGCACTGTCTTTGCTGCCGGTGATGGTTTGCAATATTTTAAACGAATAGCCATACCAATAATGTGCTTGCATATGTACTTTTTAAGAAAAGCTGAACAGTTGCATTTTGATGTTGTCCAATCTGAATCATTCTTGATTTTCAACAATTAAGATTTCAATCTGAATTTTACAATTAAGATTTCAATCTGAAAAAGTAAATTTTGATGAAATTTTCAATAGAAAAGTCTTTCGAACGTAAGCTGTTGTACATTGATGTGTAAGCTGCAAAAAGGGTTAGATGAAAAATGCGAATAAATTATCGCTCTCTCTAGTTTCTGCTAAGATTTATTATTTGCTAAAGACTAAAACTCCAAGCTTAGCGCTGACAGAAAATCACCCAACGAGATTCCAGGCGCTAAGAGCCCACCTCCAAACGCTTCTTTTTTGGTTGTTAACATTGAAAAACTGCGTTAAATATGCGTTAAATGCGCCTCGTAGTGCATCTTCCGGACTCAAGAAGCTGAAAGAAACAAGAAAGTAGGACATTTTCTGTGCAAGATCTTAATAAGAAGCTGGAAAAAAGCTTCGAAACTACACTCTGTTCATTCAGACAAAAGAAAAGCAGCGCTGTTAACCTTCTATTTTATGCTGCTATAAGTAATATTTTCTGTGACGCGTCTATTTGAAGAAAATTTTCCTCCTTCGATTGACTAAGGTCTTTCTGCGTTATATTTCTCAGTTGTTTTTTGGAGGGGATCTGCTATAGAGACATTAATGCACTAAAAAATATGTTTGCTCGAAAAAGTCCGCTGGATGAATCTTTCAAGATAGATAAAAAACTAGATAGGATTTTATTTCTTTTCATTCTTTGCTACAGTGTATGTCAAAAAAGTCGTTGCTGAAAACGCACAGCTTTATTAGATGTCGTATATATTTTTGAACTACAAATAATATAATATAAACGGCGTTCGCGAAAGTTTAGCGACTACCGTTTTTTCTTGGAAATTTTTCGACCTATTTAGCAAAACTCTTTCTTCTGGTCGATGATAACGTTCCCATTGGTGGCATTAAGCGCCGCTGACTACACGATCTAATACCTCGCGTCTTACTTATAGCAAAAGTTAGCGAGATCAAACTACCTCTGGAGCTGCAAACGCTAAGATTGAATTCAGTCTGTTCCAGTGCGTAGAATAAGCCTTAAATAGGGTCAAGAAAAGTGCGTATCGGATTATTAGTTGAATCTAAGTGTCCCTTCTAAATGATTAATGTGTAGATTACCATATTTGAAAAATAATAGTTTTAAATGTTCTAAATTATTAAAATAAAAAAAAACTTTTCTATTGAAAATTTCATCAAAATTTACTTTTTCAGATTGAAATCTTAATTGTAGATATATAATTTTATTACAAATTAATGATGAGTTGTATGAAATCATCGTTAAGTAATCAAATAAATCTGATGCTCTAATATCTAAATGATTTATATTTGGCATCAATAATAAAAAAATTTCAAAATCATTTAATGATAACTTTGCAATATCAATCGTATTGTATAATTGTAAACATCGAACAAAATTTAAAGTAGTAATTATACTTGTTTGTGAAGTTGGCGCACTATTATTAATTTATTTCACATTTTTAAACTGAAAATCTGTTACATTTGGATAATAAGAAGTTAATAGAGTTGATGATGTTGAATTTGAGATTGGAGTTGAACTATTCAAAAATAAATTTTTCACACGATATAAACATTTTGAATCGCATTTACGATGATAAGCATATGATTCATCATTTATAAATTGAAATGAATTTTTTAACCATGGTTGAGTGAATATCATACAATGTTTGTCATTACATAAAAAATATATTTTTCCTGTGATAATACAGGTGTACACCAGTTTCGGTATATCGGATATTGAAGAAGCTAATGTGAAAAACATTTTGTTTTTCTACATTCGAAAGAGTCCTAAGCTAACAGAAAATGATCGGACAAGGACTTTTTCAGAAATATTTTGTATTCTGATTAGGAATTATTCAAGTATCAATTGATAAGTTATTAGTCGTCTAGCATTCTGAAGAAGAAGAAGAAGCGTTCTTCATATATCACGTGAAATGAGAGGGTGTCATACACAGAACAGAAAGAAATTTTTGCTCATAAGATTGTTGCCGTACTGTTTTCTCCTGTTATATACTTCTGTAACAGCAAGTTCAGAAAATTACAAATAAACATTGGTTATGATTCACGTAAAATATGACTATCATGGATGCTGCTCACATAGATACTTTTCAAACATTTTCATCTGCTTTTAACGTGAATAAAAGTCTTTTCGGAAAAAACGCAAAATGCGCTCAATGGGCAGTGACAGTAAAATTGGAAAAAAATCAGTATCTAAGCATAATTTCAAGTTCAAGTGGAGTGGAATGTTGAAGTAGTTCTCTTATGAATCTCTTTTCGATCAGTGTATCGATGCATCGTCATATATTTTCTCTCCATCAATACAACACAAACAAATAAAAGCTTATTATCTATACTACTAATCAACATTGAGATAGAACCACAAAATCCCATAAAGGAAAAATAGGCCTCTTCGTCAAAGCATCAAGAAAAGAAAACGATTTTAGTCCAAAAAAAAGTTTCAGTTTTTGAATATAAAAAGAATTTTTGTTTCTTTTAATTATTATTATTGAATATTGTTTATTTTTCATCATCATCGTCATCGGCTATATTTATATATGGAATAATGTTTTGTTTGGCATATTTTACAAATGGATTAAGAACATTTTCAATTCGACTTAAAAGTGAATTGACTCGAACCGAGGCCGGTAATTGTTTACGTTTTTGTTTTTGTTTTTGCGTACGTGTTTCGTCATCTAAAACTTCTTCATCAAATGCTAGCTCATGTATTTATAGCTGTCGTCCGCTGGGTAAAGATTGGTGTTTTCTTTGTTTCATTGTTGTTAACGAATGTTGATCCGTTGATGATACAGTAGTAGTTTGATTATACAATGTTGGGTAGGTTGTAGATGATAAAGGTAAGGATGTTATATCCAATCCTGGTGTATACGAAAATGTTATCGGTTCACTTATTCTGGCCTTTTTTACTATTGATGATAACGTTAAACCTTCACCAATTTCATATGATCGAACACGTTTTGTTTCTAAGTTTTCTTCTTTGATTCTCGGTTTTGTGAGTGCAATAACATCGGATACAAAATCTAGATCCAAAGCTGTATTTGTTGCAACAGCCGTTGATATACCAAGAAATAATCGCCACAATTCCCCTGAGTCGATGCTGGTAGTGTGTTCAATCTCGAGAGTATCTGAACGATTTTATCCTCAATTAACAACGATGATTCAGGTGAAATATGTGTGATTTTATTTACTGATGACATTGTAACATCTGTTAAACGATTTTGTGTATTAGTTGCATTCTAAATACAAATAATAAGAGCCTGAGCAGAGGCCTAAAAAGTTCAAATTAGATTCTGCTCGAATCTCACAAAAAACATTCCTAAACACGTTTAAATGCAACCAGATTTGTTTCCGTCATTTTGAGATAAAATAAGGATTGTAGAAATTGCAAAACTCAGGAGAACCTGTTTAGTTTTTACAAAAATCTGCGTCTTACATCGCCTTACGCATTTTTTTTCTCGGACCTTTTTTATAGATTATCCAGAAGCTTTTCGGTAAAAATCGAAAACTTTCTCAGTCATTCAAGTCTGGGGAAAATACAGATCTTCTCACATATTTAGAATGGTTCTCAACTGTCGATAGGCCTCATTCGATCTTGGATTATAAGAAAAGTATCCTTGTAAAATCCATACCACTAGATTTACTGCCGATGCTTGTAAACTATCTTCTAAATCTTCAATATCATCAACTTCGCCATGAAATTCTATATAGTCTTGCTTGTCTGTTGGTGCTTTTTGAAACAATAACGAATCATTTCCACTACAATGAACAGCAATACTATAAAAAGTAAAAGTCGAAAATGAAAATGTACAAATTTTAAAAGCAGATGTTCAGCATAAAGTTTTTCTTAGAACGTAAGCTGTTGTACATTGATGTGTAAGCTGCAAAAAGGGTTAGATGAAAAATGCGAATAAATTATCGCTCTCTCTAGTTTCTGCTAAGATTTATCATTTGCTAAAGGCTGAAACTCTAAGATTAGCGCTGACAGAAAATCACCCAACGAGATTCCAGGCACTAAGAGTCCACCTCCAAACGCTTCTTTTTTGGTTGGTAACATTGAAAAACTGCGTTAAACATTTCATCTGAAACGAGGATAAACGTGTTGAGGCGGCAATTATAACGAAAACTTGTTATTTCTGAAATAAAACCGACGGAAAAGTGCGTTTCAATGTTTTCAATTCTATAACGACTCGTAGTGCAGCTTCCAGACTCAAGAAGCTGAAAGAAATAACAAAGTAGGACATTTTCCGTGCAAGACCTTTGTAGATCCCTGACACTACCTCGATTTCTATTTCATCGATTTTCCTGTATGATTTGGATTTTAAACTCATTTTGTGCAAGTTGTGTCCGCGCAAAGAAACGCGTAATTGTGAGTGAAAATGTTATGTTTAATACCACACTGTTTTGGGTCACGGTCACTTGGCCGACAATCACTTTGCATCATATACACCTTCGCATGATGATACTATGTTTTGTGTGAAACTACTTTTCGAACTCACTCTCATACTGCCCGCCCCCCACCCCCTCCCACGACACACTGCTAAAAATACCCAAATGTGTACTATGAAAAATTCGTGCAAGAGTCTGGATCCTGTTCGCGGTAATGTCGTTCGCTCAAATGTCTGTCGCTCAAATGACAGTCGCTCAAATGTCGGTCGCTCAAATGTGGGCGCCGCTCAAATGTCGAAATCAGTTGTCGGCAAAGTGAACGCGCCCCACTGTTTCCTTTGTTATATTTATTTTCGGTAAAAAAACGGTTTTTTCCGTTCCACTCACGTGTCAGACATATAGAAACACCTCAAGATGGCAGGCCACATATAAAAAAAAACGTGTAGCCCTATACGTGTATAGCTATATATCGTTGTACAGCTGGGATATCTGTAAATTTCAACTTTTCTTTCTTTTTGTAAAAACGATGAATATCGACATGTGGAATAGGAGAGTAATTCCACAAATAGTTCAGTTTTTCAAATTTGCGTGTCAGATTTTACCGGAATTAATTGAAATAATAGAAGAATTAGAATCAGCAGAACATCACATCATCCAGTTAACATCAATATTTTCCCAATTGACAGCTTTTACTCAACTAGTTCAGTTGTTACCAGGATTAACAATTTATCATATTAGTATGTCGATTGACCATTACGAGAGCGCATCACTCACAGATCTTTACGCTGAATTGGCACCAACACCGCGAAGATTTTTCGAATTAGTAGGTATGCCCCATCTGCATTTATTCAAATTCATCATCTATTTATACAGTATTTCGATCAAAAAAGAAGTTTAATTTGCGGACCTCAATTAAGTTGTATATCATCCGCTCCTCCGTTATGTAGGTTATGTTGATGGTACACGACATTTCATACATAGACCTCGTAAGTGTGAGAATCATCACTGATTGTTTTTCTCTATCTTCATAAAAATGAAAGAGAGCGTGTAGGGTGAGAGATCTTTAAAAAGATTAAGTAGATTTACGTTAGAGTAGTGTAAAAAAGTGTTCAGGGATACGAGAAGGTTGAGGTTTCATGAATAATAAGAACTCTAAGGATAATATAAAACCATTGGCATGCAACAAATCTCATCATGACGAATTTTGAAATTACGATTTGTTTAGAAAAGAATCAACGTTTATTTTATTCGGGAAAAATTCGACGACACTGCTTAGCGACTATCATTATAGTATCAACAGAAAAAAAATTATATTTTTTAAAAGCGGTTATCTGGGCAGCGTCCATGGTAGTCGTATGTTAACAAGTGCCGGCATTGGACCTTTACCACAACATGTACGGCTTTTAGCAGACAAAGGGTTTGCTAATGGCGGGTATTTACCTACACTACTATCCATTTCAAAAAAGAAGAAGCACGGCCATTTCTTTGATAACTTTTTCTAAGAAGCAGCTAAAAAGGTGCGGTTTTCAGTATCGGAAAGCGAAATGTTGGGGTAATATGAAAAACTAA